GTCAAAAATAATTATAATAAATAATAGTAAATAATTAAAATAGATAATAATTATAGTAATTATATAAAAGAAAAAATAAGCCAACCAGAATCTTATTTTAATCAGATTGGATTTACAGGAAACTGCTTTTATTGTGTCCGTTAAAGGGCGGTGGTCTGCGTGTTAATAAATATTGTATTTAACTAGCGTTGTATAGTACGTCACTGTGAAACTCATGTTAGACACAATTCTTTTTTTCGTGAGTCACAAAACTTGCTGGGGTGGGGGGTTAAATAGTCTATAAATTTACTTTGAAAAAACTACTTTAAATATACATTGCATAAACCCTCTATTTCAGAAGTTATTCACTAAAACGATTACGCGCGTAAACTCACAAACTAATTAGCATACAGGGGGCGCTGTTGTACTATGGGTGAAAGATTACATTTTACATCAGATGTTTATATCTATGTATTAGTATTATGAATAAATTATGTTCAATCAAGCATTATTTGCATAAAGATAGTACACGTACTTCGCAATTCGCGAAGTTGGAGTTGAGGAGAATTGAAGGAACGGAATACTGGCTATATTGGAATATCCGCAAACGATTCACACTTTTCAAAGACGTCGTATTCTCAAATGACGAGGAAATCATGACGTAGAAGGGTGGGAACAATATCACGTACAGCGCCATCTGTGTTTGGTTAGTACGTATACGTTCGTAATCTAGAATACAGAACGACTCCCCAAATAGATTAGTTTGTAATTGCGAACCACAGATCAAACCACTAACTTTCGCTGGTTCCCGGCGTCCCTTGCGAATGGCAGGTAGGACGCAGGTACTAGTAATCGCAATATTGCTCCAATGGGCCAGGATTCTGGCCCAAAATCACGTGATTAAGTGACGTAATTTGAAAACATTCTAATATTCGTTTTTTGTAAAAAAAAAAGTCTTTATTACGCCGAACCAATACATTATGCCTGCTTAGACTTACATATTTGAGATGTTTCTGACATTCCTCGCTGTTTCTGTGAAAATTTATAACAAAAGAAACAGTTTTTTATTCTCCCAACTTTCGAGAGTAAAGGGATCTAACGAGCTTAAGGTAGCGAGAGGGGAAAAACTAGAAAAAAAAAAACTTCTTTCTAAAAATCCCGGATTATGCAACCTTATATTGTGTACTTTCTTTATCTTTGGTCCGAATTTACAGTGCACGATGCATTTGTTGAGTAATTTCAATTTATTCCCGGAAACTTAGTTGTAGGTGAACACGTCCTTCATGCATTTACATATCATGTTGAATGACAGACTGAAGACA